TATATAGTATATATCTAGATAGATAGATACTATAGATATATACTAGATATATAGATAGATGTAGATAAACTAGATACATCGATTTAAATGTATAGATATATCTATCTTTAAATGTATAGATATATCTATGTATCTATATATCTATATTGTATGATAGATATATACTATATGTATCATACAATACTGTATGTAGATACATATTATACTACTGCACTACACTATATTATACTACTATATTACACTATATTTACTACTGTATTACACTGTGTTATACTACTATACTACACACCATATTTTACTACTATACTCATATTTTACTACTATACTATACACTATATTATACTACTGCATTACCCTATATTATACTACTATACTATACACTATATCATACTACTGTACTGCACTATATTATACTACTGCACTATACACTATATTGTACTACGCAGAATCACACAGAATCACAGAATTATAGGCTGGAAGAGACCTCTAAGATGGAGTCCAACCTATACCCTAACACATCAACCAGGCTATAGCACCAAGTGCCATGTCCAGTCTTTTTTAAACACATCCAGACACGGTGATTCTAGCACCTCCCTGGGAAGAGTATTCCAGTACTTTATTATTCTTTAGGTGAAAAATTTCTTCCTGATATCCAACCTATACTTTCCCTGATATAACTTGAGACTATACACTATTATACTGCTGTACTATACACTATTATACTACTACTACTGCACTGTACTGTACTACTACCAAGAAAATCCCATCACCCTTGCCAGCCACTCCAACACACAGGTGGATCCAATCGGACAATGAATCCAAACACCACCACCTGAGTCCAATTAAGAAATCACCCTTTGGTAAACAATCTCCATAACACATTCCACGTGTACATAACAGGCGCAATAAATGAAGGTAAGGATTGTTTTAATTCTCTCTCTGAGCTTTCTCACAGCTTTCCCCAGGAAAATCCTGGGAAATGCTGTGTCTCTCTCTGTGTTCAGAGGATGTGTGATTGCCACGCTCCCCCTGTGCTGCCCCAAAATCCGTCCAGCCCTGAGAAATATGGGTAAAACACTCCAGAACTTTCTGGGATGGTTTTGGCGTGCAGCCTCTGCCTCACCCACGCTGCAGTGACCGCCATGGACTGCAGCGGGAATGCTAATTAAACCAGGGAGCTAATTAGTCTGGAGTTGGTGGTTCTGATATTTCTGCTCAGCCCACTGAGGGATGCAAAATGTGTCCCAGGAGCATTTTCAGCAGTGAAACTGCACTCGCTCTGTTAACGCTGCTATGAGGAGTGACACTCCTGTCAGGTGGGAACCAAGGAAGGTTTGGGTTTCTCAGTTAATTAAATCCCCAAAAAAGCCTCCCTTGCCTTGGGTGTGTATCCACGCTGCAGATGTGTAACACAGCAGGATCAGAGTTGTCTGTTACACCAGTGCTGCTGGCAGCGCTGCTCAGCACCCAAAGTCTGCCAAATGGATCAGAACCCAAGTGAGTGCAGAATTCTCCTCTTAAATTAAATAAGTTTTTGCACTGGTTTAGCTAAACTGGCTCAGATCCCGTGGGAGGGAGGCATCAACCTCCTTGTATGGAGGAGAGGAGGAAGCACAGAGGCTGCTGCTGTATGTGAGCTGGGTGGGGCTGGCCGGAGAATGGTGTCAGTGAGGAGGGTCCATCCATCCCCAGAGACATTATCAGATTTGGTTTTGGTATTTTGGTATTTCTGCCTTGGGCCTTCTGCCAGCGGTGGTACACCTTTGCTGGGCAGGTGTTTCTCTTGTGCAGGTGTTTCTCTTGTGCAGGTGTTTCTTTGTGCAGGTGTTTCTCTTGTGCAGGATTTCTCCTGTGCAGGATTTCTCTCGTGCAGTGTTTTGTACAGGGCAGAGTGGAGTTGGTGGTTGGTTGTGCAGGGATAGCAAAGCATTAAAAAGGGTTGGAAGCCTGTCCTTTCCCTGCTTGGTTGGTCTCTTTGTTTTCCAAGTCCCAGCTGTGCTACCAAGAGATAAAACAATCCTTAAAGGCTCCCCTTTGCCCTGCCACTGGGCAGAACCCAAATTTCTCTTGCCCAAGTTCTGTTCTGCTGCACAAGGTTGTGCTACAAGAAGTCAAACAGCCTCTGCTGAGATTTGCTTCCCCATATGCCATGCAGAAAGTTGTCAATTCAAAGAAATATTGGAATTCGTTATCTGCCCCTCCTTGAGCTGGGCAGAGAAGGGGAAAGCACCAAGTGACTCGCATGTGAGCAGTGCCAGGCTGGCTCTGGCAGCTGGCTGCAGGCAGGGCACTGCCACCAAGTGTTTTATCACTGTCCAACTTGAAAGCAATACTTTTGGGCTCTGTCCAAGCAGAAAAGAGCAGAGCTCTGCTGTTGCAGATTTCTTGACTCCATCCCCAGGTCTGTGTGTGAGACTGTGGAGGAGACCATGAGACCTTCCCAGTGTTTGTTGCTGCTGGTTCCTTTCCCAAAATCTGAATTTTCTCAGGATTTTGGGTACATTTTGCCATGCCCAGTGCTGCAGAGCTATACAGATGGGAGGACACCCTGCCCTGGTCCTGGCAGGTCCAGGCTGGCACTGCTGCCACGTCCCCCATCCCCTGGGCACCAGCAGTGACAGGACTGGGGAGCAGGCTTTGCTCTCATGCTGGAGCTCACATTGCAGCCTGGATTACCCAGAGTAAAAAAGCCTTTAATATGGGCTGGTTTTCACTCCCTTTGCTTCATCTGTCCAGGTTCACTGTTTGTGACAAGGCTGAGGTCAAGGGCCTGGCTCCCAGGCGCCAGTGCCTTCGGGGGATGCATAAATAAGGAGATCGTGTCTTAATAGTGCTAAAAGTAAATGAGCAGTGGGGTATTTGCAGTCCTGTCACTGAGTGAGAGGTCCAGCCCTCCCCAGCAATGTCCCCTCAGCCACTTAAAGCTTCCACCCGGCCCGTGGCCTTAGCAATAAATAAATAAAAATCAGATTTCTGGCGAACAAGCGGCGCTCTGATCTCCTATTCATTTATTTGCAGGCCTCATTAATATAACATCAGCGCAACAAACAGCTGAAGGGGGGACAGTGTCAGGCTGAATAATGGAGTTGCTCTGCTGAGATAACAATTAGGCTCTGAATGTGCCATCAGCTGAGGCAGAGACAAGGAGGGATCATGCCGGGATGACAATGCTCATGTGCTGCCTCCCCGCTGGGCTCATCAGCCGGGATCCAGGGCTCGGAGCAGCAGCAGAAAAGCACAAAGAGGATGGAGGTGGCTGGGGCTGGGGAGGGGGCAGGGGCTGGGCCGTTGATTGGGGTCTCTCTGCACCCCAGCAGATGCCAAGGGCTCGCTGTGCAGGGCTGTGCCTTCCCTGCAGCTCCATCTCTCCCTGGATCCTCACTGACTTCTTCTGTGCCTTCCTTCCCTGCAGCTCCTCAGGGAAAGCCCCAGCAGCCCCAGCTCTCCCCAGCTCCCCTCTGACTTCTTCTGCAGGCAAAATGTTGCTTCATGTCAGAAGCGCTGAAAGATTCGAGCAGCAAGACATGACACTGAGAACATTTATCCCTCATTGCTGGAGCTGTGTCCTCTGCAGGCTGCGAGGGGAAAGGCTCTGGCACTGGGCTGGGACTCCTGGGTCCCTGGGGTCCTTGGATCCCAAACGTGGGGGTCCCTTGGGTCCCAAACGTGGGGGTCCCTTGCGTCCCAACCTTGGGGATCCCTTGGATTCCAAATTTGGGGGTCCCTTGGATCCCAACCTTGGGGATCTCTTGGGTTCCAGCCTTGGGGATTTCTTGGATCCCAGCCTGGGGGATCCCTAGGGTTCCAGCCTTGGGGGTCCCTTGGACTCCATCCTTGGGGGTCCCTTGGATCCCAAACTTAGGGATCCATTGGATCCCAACCTTGGGGACCCCTTGTGTTCCAACCTTGGGGGTCCCTTGGACTCCAGCCTTGGGGAATCTCTCAGGTTCCATCCTTGGGGTCCCCACCTTGGTTCCAGTAAAAGCAGCAATAAGAGAAGTTCTCGAGCTCCTGCAGCCCTTCCCTGACTGAGGGCAGGGTGTGAGGGTGACTGAGCTGCTGGCACCCCCTCATCCCTGCGCCCAGCCCATTTTATCCCTAACACAGGGCTGCACACCTGCTCCTGTCCAGCATCATTACAGGGTTGGGATTTGTCTCTGCAGTGGGGAGAGGTGACCTGCTCAGGGTAATTCTGCTTCCCACACCCCGCTCAGGTCTCAGCGACTTTCAAGCTGCTTCAGTTTAGCAAACAAGCTGAAAAAAACTTCCAGCAGAGATGCAGATTCCTAAACAGCAAATGTCCAATTCCTGGAATGACCTTGCTCTTTCTCAGCTGTCCTTTGCAGCTCCTTTTCATCCTCCTCAGAGCTCCAAGTGAAAAGCCAGTCTGGTGAAGTGATTTTCTTGAAATTGGGGAATATTTCTTGCTAATCCTGTCTGTCTCAGATCAGAAATCTGGGCTGGCAGCCCTGCAGCTCCCAGCTGGGATTAAGGCAGGCCAGGCTGGCTGTGCTGAGGTGCCTCCTGCTCACCCCAACGAGGATGCTGCTCGGAGGGTGCCCAGCTCTGGGTGCACCGGGACCTTTAAGACTTATCTTCTTTCTGCGATTTTGACTGAATCTCTCCAGCTGTAATTAATTGAATGCATCTGTTCTAACCCTGGGGCTGCTTTATGGCACAGTTACTTCAAAACTGTTCAATTAGTGGCCACTAAAATCTAGGTCGAGTGGAGCTCCATATTGGGGATTTTCCAGGTCAGGACATTTTTAAAATACAGCATCAGCTGGGCTTTGTTCGGGGAGGCCTCCCAGCCCTGCTGCTCCTGCTCAGCTCAGGAAATGGCAAGCAGTGACTTCTTTTTATTTGAGCGGTGATGAGACAACGAGACAGCGGAGTAAGTGCCCCAGTAAATGCATTTTAACATCATCCAGAGCTGCAGAGGACAGTTGTAACTGTCAGCCAAGTTCAGGTGATTCCCCAGCAGTGATGTAAACACCACCAGGCCTCCAGGACTCGGTGTAACACAACCCAGCTTGGTTTTGTAGTGGGTTTATGAGCACTTCCCAGAGCTAAATGGTACAAGACAGGCCATGGTGTGAGTTACAGGGAACAGCAGCACAACAGGCACTGCGTGGTGAATAAATTAAAAACCTCCAGCAGGCGGTGGAGGGGAGAGGGAGGTGGGAATTAAAGGATGTGGAGGAAGGAGGGGGTGGCTTGGTGAGTGCATGGAGCTGGAATAACCTCAGCCAAAAACGGGGCAGAATGCCCAGGGAAGTGCTGGGGTCACCCTGGCAGTGCTCAAAAACCACCTGGATGTGACCACTGGTCTAGTGGGGATGGTGGGATTCCTTCTTGAACACCTTGGGTGTCTTTCTGGAGATGCTTTGGGGAACTGGGAAGCACAGAACTGGGAAACCATAGGTTTAGTGGGGATGGTGGGATTCCTTCTTGAACACCTTGGGTGTCATTTTGGAGATGGTTTGGGGAACTGGGAAGCACAGAAGTGATGGGGACAGGGGTGCTCCATAAGGGCTGCTGTGGGGCAGGTCACTGGGGTGATGGCACTGGTGTTTGGCTTTCCTCACTTCTGAGGAGGTGGAAAAACCCACCCTTCCATCTGGAAACAGCGAGGGAAAGGTTCTGAAGAGCTCAAGTATTTTTGCCAAAGACAAGGGAGGAACAAAGAAGCATGAACAAGATTTATCCATTAAATTAATTAAATTGCATTATTATGGATTGTGTTTATTTATTAATAACTGCAGCACAGGGAAGATGAGAAACTCACCCAAGAGCAACAACAGAGCAGTGGCAGATTCAGGATAACTGTCTGAGAGTCCTGGGTCCAAATTTTGTGACCATGCATTATTGAAATTCATACTCCTAATTGAAGAGGAGATTGTCCTTAATGCAAGTCCAGGGAAGCAGGGATGATTATGGCTGAGGCAGGCTATAAACAGGCAGCTTGAAAGCACACACCTCACCCTTTAGCATTTTTAAGTCATTTGAGGTGCCAAGTCACTAATAAAATGTGACATTAACATTCAGGGAACAGCCAAGGCAGAAAGCAAAGTTCTCCAAGCACCAGGCTGCTTCTGGAAGGTGACTTACCTGTTCTGGATGGAGACAGGAGCCAGGTGTGTCCTTCTGCAAGGATGTCTGGGAATGGCACTGCCCACTCTTCTTGGCCAGCACCTTGTAGTCCTCTCTTGGAGCAGGACATGGATGGATTCCAGCATCCTTGGGCTCCTCCAGGACACCCAGAAGAGCCCTGAGGGGTGGCCCTGGCTTGTCTGGCAGCAGGAGAGATTCCAAAACAGGGATGGAGCTGGAGAAGGGGCATGGTGGGGATGTCACTGTTACTGACATGTTTTATGAAAATCCTTCCACTTGGACTTTTCTCCTGAGAAACCTCAGAAAAGAAATGTAAACAAGAATTATCTGGTTGCTTGGAATGTGGTTTGGAGGTTGCTCACCAACAGGTGCATCTTTGATTGGTTCCTTGTGAATTGGTTTTCCTTAATGACCAATCCCAGTCCAGCTGTGGCAGACTTTCTGGTTAAGTCACAAGATTTCATTATTCATTCCTTTCCAGCCTTCTGATGAAAGCCTTTCCCTCTATTCTTTTTAGTATAGTTTTAATATGTCATTATGATATAATATGATATGATATGATTATATGATATGATATGATATTATTGATATGATATAGTATGATATCATATGGTATGATATATATATAATATAATTATAATATAATTATAATATAATTATAATATAATATAATATAATATAATATAATATAATATAATATAATATAAATATATCAGCCTTCTGAAACATGGAGTCAAGATTCTCACCTCGTCCTGGGGAGCCTCCATCACCACCCCATGTCCCCTCACCCTGTGCTGTCTCCCTGCAGATCCTGACGGTGTCGGGGCCCCCAGAAGGAGGGACCAGGGTGACCATCCGTGGGGTGAACCTGGGCCTGGACTTCTCGGAGATCGCGCAGGGCGTGCAGGTGGCCGGGGTGCAGTGCACGCCCCTGCCCGAGCACTACGTGGTGGCCGAGCAGTGAGTGTCCCCTCCCTTGTCCCCCCCTTGTCCCCTCACCTGTCCCTGGGCTGGGCACCCCCAGAGCTCCTCCCTTGGTGCTGGCTGGGGGTTATTCACAGACACAAACGGGATGGGGCTGATGGGGAACGCGCCCTCGAGCTGGTTTATTTCCCAGCATCAGTCTCATTCCATGGTTGTGACAATGGGAAGATGCCAGCAGCTCACATCCCAGGCAGCAGACACAGAACTTAATGTGAACTTAATAACTCACTTTATAAGCTTCTTGACTAATCACAGAAAGCAAAAGCATATTGGCAGATTTGTATCTGTATAGTATATATTCTATATTGACAGTAGTTCTATCCAATCACCATAAGCACAGGTACTTTTGGTTAAACAATGCTTGATTATTTCCAATACAATACCTGCTTGTGAGCCTTAAAACACAAAAGAGCTCCATTATTAAGCTTTAACTTTCTTAATATCTTGCTAGATAAACTTTCTGTAGCTTAGAGAGTTATTCTAGACAAGCGTTAATACACAGACCATTGTTCTATTTGCTTTTGCTTTTCTGCAGTTTAAATAATTTTTCTGCTGACCAATCTCATGGCTGCTGCCTAGCTCTGCTCACAGTTCTGCTGTGTCTGAGGCCTGCATCTTGCAGCTATAATTTTGTAGATTCCCACACTCCCTGACCTCCAGCCAACGCTCAGGAGGCCAAAACCTCACCGGGAAGGGCTGTGGAGGTGGGCATGGGAAGGGATTCCTGCCCATTCCCGCACATTCCTGCACTCTGGACTCTCTCTGCAGGGGTTAAGCAGCGCTTTGAGTTGCATTAAGCGTTCTGTTTCCTTGCACACCAGTTCCTGCTTGGCTAAGCACCTTTGCTGATGAGCACCTTGCTGCTGCTGCTGCTGCTGCTGCCTCCCCATCCATCCCGCTTGGAATTCCGCCGGCGCCCGGGCTGCAGCAGCCATTTGTTAGGCGGGCGAGGCGCTGACAGCCCCGCGCTCCGAGTGGGCTCCCCTGCAGTCAATCCATTTGTTTCACTGAGAAAAATGTCAGCCCCAAATTGGAAAACAGGCCTGGAACAGGGGAAAGGCAAATGAGCCCCTCGGCGGCGCAGCAGCCGCTCCTGTGCTGCCCCTCGGGGCTGGGCTGGGGGGCTCAGGGGGTGTTTGGGGACATCCCTGCTGGGTGGGACAGCAGAAACAGGTGATGTCTCCCCTTGGGTTGTGTCATCTCCTGCTGGGACCAGGATGGTGTTCTGAGCAGTAGGGCTGTGAGTGTGGAGCTGGCCAAGGTCCCATGGGTGCTCCCAGCAGCATAGACCTGCCCCAGCTTCATCCTCTGCTGGGAAATCCATTTTCCTCTGCTGGGAAATCCATTTTCCTCTGCTGGGAAATGCGTTTGCTGGCTCCCAGTCTGACCCCAGCAGGCCCAGGACCTGTCACCAGCAGCACGTGGTGGCGTGGGTTGGGTTTTGTCCATTCCTGGTGTTTCTTTGCCCATCTGTGAGGCAGAAGGGGCATTGCTGACCCCTCTGGAGCAGCGAGGGGCAGTGCAGATGGAATTTGGGATCATGAGGTGAAGGTTGCTTGGGGCTGCTGCAGGAATGGCACCAACACCCCATCACTGCAAGCAGTTGGGGCTGTTCTGCTGAGCAGTACCTTGTTCTATTTTATTTTTCAAATAAAGGATGGAAGATTATGAAATTATCCCCCTTTGATGGTATGAAACCCTGATTTTATAATCATGACTCTAATTACGGCTCTTGAGCTTTCAAAGTTTGTTAACATCATTAAAACATTTACCCTGGGCAGATAACAGCAAGCGTTAGCATGAGAGCTGCCTTTTAAAGATGAATACAGATAAAAGGACCCTCTTAAGGCTTCTGTGGGCAGACTGAATTCCAGGACTGTAATGACTCTGCCATATGCTCCAGCCCCGCAATCTATCAGCCAGCAATTAGGTTAATGTTGGTGAAAGGGCCACTTAGCCCGGCAATCAGCACCCTACAGCTCTGCCGAATGCATCGTTTTGTAACAAGGTACCTGCTGGGGCTTTGGCTCTGAGCAGGGCTGGGCACCAGGTGTGCCCGGTCACTTGTGCCCTGTCCCGCACCCACCCCTGCCCGGGCTGGGCTGCAGCTGCTGCTGTGCGGGCACAGCTGAGAGTTTGGTGTTTCCTTGGGCAGAGAGAGCCTCCCCTGCCCTCTGCTGCCCTTGGGCTGCCAGGAATCACCCCCAGGCTTTGCTTGCATGGCCCCAAGCTCAGAGTGGGCTCCTCTCCAGGAGGAGGAGGAGGAGGAGGAGGGATGGGGAGAGGTGAAGGAATAACAGGCAGAGAGGTGCAGGGGCGATGTCTGCTTGAAAGGCAGAGCAAGGAGCACGTGGCAGAGGAAGGCTGGGAGCTGAGAGGCTTCAATCCCTGCTCTCCAAAGCAGCATCTCTCCAGGCAGCCCCTTTTGATGTGCAGCAACGAGGACGTGCACGTTCCAGCTCTTTAGCAGCATGTGTGTATTTCATCAGGCCTCCTGGCATCACCTGTGCACGGCAGCTTCTTTTCTTCCTTCAGTCTTCGTGGTTTATTTTATTTTATTTTATTTTATTTTATTTTTTATTTGCAGTGAATTTAATGCTGCTGAAGGCAACTCCCCAAATTGGGGCCTTTTATGTCTTTGTGTGTGATGGGCAAAGGAGTGAGAGCTCCCTTCTCCTTCAGCCTCAGCAGGCAGAGGCTGCTCTGGCTCTTCTCTGGTCCCACTCGCAGGGTCAGATGCCCCCACAGGTGGAACTGCACCTCCTGCCTTCAGCTTTTCCTCCCTGAGGCCAATTTCCCATCTCCAATCCCCCTCTCTGATTTCCAGGCAGGTTCCTCCCACCCTCAGCCTCTCAGAGCCTGCAGGGATGCTCTCGAATTTACTCTGCCAGCATTGCTGTGGGAGCAAGCAGCATGCAAGTCCATCTGGAGAGCCCTGCCAGCTGATGCCCCTCTGAAAACCTCCCCCAGACCTGCTGGCATGCCTGGCATCCGCTTGATCCCGTCCCCAGCTGGTGTCACTCATCCCCTGTGCCCTGGGACTTGGGGGTTATTCATCCTCAGTGAGCAGCCATGGGCAGCCCCAGCAGCTCTGCCTGGCCCTGCAGCTTTGCTCTGGGCTTTTGGGGTTGTTCATCCCTCAGCTGTGGTGAACCCCAGCAGCTCTGCCTGGCCCTGCAGCTTTGCCTGGGCTTTTGGAGTTGTTCATCATCCTCTGTGGTGAACCCCAGCAGCTCTCCCCAGCCCTGCAGCTTTGCCCTGGGCTTTTGGGGTTGTTCATCCATCAGTTGTGGTGAGCCCCAGCAGCTCTCCCTGGCCCTGCAGCTTTCCCAGCCTCAGGATGTGCCCACGGGGCTGAGCTGGACCATGCCAGGAGCCCCTGTGACCAGCACCAGTGTGTTTGTGGCAGCCAGCCCTGTCCCCAGCCAAAGCTGCTCTCCAGGGCTGTCTCTATCATCCCCCAGCAGGTTTCTCCTGCAGTTGTGATTAACTGGGAGTCTGCAGTGTGAGCTGTTCCCTTAATGAACTCATCTGTTACTCTGAGGACTTCGCACTCGCTTTGCTACTGGCTAATATATTGCCATTAGTGCTCTGCTTTGCTCTGGAGTTTACAGCTTGTAATAATTATGTCTAATTTTGATTTTTTTTTCCTTTAAATTACTACACAGGGTAAAAATAGACTCAGTAATTAACTCCTTCCAAAGAGGCAGATATCAAAGTTAAAGAGGGGGGGCGGGGGGGGGGAGAAAGGAGAAATAATGGCAGCGTGGAGCTGAGCAGGGCACTGCTGGCACCTCCTGCCAAAGCTCCACTGAGGCATTTGTGCTTCCAGGATCGTCTGTGAAATGGGGCAGGCGCTTCCAGGGATCAGCTCCGGCCCAGTGCTCCTGTGCATCGGAGAGTGCAAGCCCGAGTTCACGGCCAAGTCAGCGCAGCAGTACGTGTTTGTGGTGAGTGTCCTGCTGGGGACAGCACGGGCTGGGGCTGGCACACAGAGGGGCTCCAGCTCCACAGGAATTGCTGGGGAGTTTCTGGGGCTGTTCCCCTGGGTTTGCTCAGTTTTTGGTGGCCTGAGTTCATAGCCAAGACAGCTCAGCAGTACGTGTTCATGGTGTGTCCCCTGGAACTGAGCCTGGCACACAGAGGGGCTCCAGCTCCAGGGCACAGTCCTAGAATTGCTGGTTTTTTTCTGGGTCTTTTCCCCTGGTGTTGCTCAGTTTTTGGTGCCCGAGTTGACGGCCAAGTCAGGGCAGCACTACGTGTTTGTGGTGAGTGCCCTGCTGGGGACAGCACGTGTGTGCCCAGCAGCTGAGCCTGGCACACAGAGGGGCTCCAGCTTCAAAGGACAGTCCTGGAATTGCTCATTTTTTTCCTGGGGCTTTCCCCCTGGTGTTGCTCAGTTTTTGGTGGCTCTCTCAACAAGCGCAGCTTGCAGGATGGAGAGCTCTCCCTGTGGATAAATGAGGGCTTCCACAGTGTTTGGATCCAGCTTTGCACCACCAGAGCAGTGATTATGGAATGACAGATTGGTTTGGGTTGGGAGGGAATCCTCAAAGACCCAGTGCCACCCCTTCCACTATCCCAGGCTGCTCCAAGCCCCGTCCAACCTGGCCTTGGGCGCTTCAGGGATGTCGTGCCCTGTGCCGGCCCCCAGAGCAGCTCCCTGGCTGCAGCAGGGGCCCTGAGCTGTCCTTTCCTCCCTGCAGACCCCAGCTGTGAGTTTCCTGAGCCCCGGCCGCGGCCCGGAGTCGGGAGGGACCATGGTGACCATCTCTGGCCAGCACCTGGGCGCTGGCAGCCGCGTCTCCGTGCTCCTGGGGAACCAGACCTGCGAGTTCCTGCAGTAAGAGACACCACAGGCTCCTGCAGCTCCCATCCCAGCGCGGATCTGCTGGAGCTGAACGTGCAAAAATCCATCTGGGAAGCCCCTGAGGCTCCCTCCTTTATTGCATGAAACCCTCCTCTCTTTTATTGTGATGGAGGCTTGCATGGCCAGGGAGGGATTCATCGGTGTTAGTGCTGTTCATTATTTCATTTTAATGCTGTTCCAGTGGTAGCTGCTCTGAAAATCACAGTGAAACACCACTGGGATGGAAATGTGCTTATATTGGTCACCAGTACCTGCCCCCAGCCTGGCGGCTCTGAAGAAAATGGAACATTTATATGAAATAGCTCCTTTCTCTTTCCACAGACCTGCATTGATTTTATTGTAGCCACTGCTGCAGGTGCCTCCAACTCCTAAAAATGGTCAGGGATCCTCAGGGCAGAGCAAGGCGAGGGTCTGCTCACACCTCCTGCTGAGGAGCTTGCACTGCCATCAATCTCTGCTGGGATTTCCATGGCAAATTTGCTTTTTCCCCAGCAGTGTAAACACAGAGTTGACATTTGCAGGGTTTAATGGGTTTTCCTGGGGCTTAGTTAAAAAAGAGATGTGTGGTTTACATCTGTGTGTATCAGTACACAGCCCTGCCCACCCTGCTGGGGTGGGCACAGCCTGGCATCCAAAGGGATTCTGCCTCCCAGATCCTCACCCAGGCTGCCCAGGAGGGGCAGAGGAAGTTTCTGGGGAAGCAGAGATCCCTGGAGGTGAATTTCTCATCCAAAAGCCTGAGAGGTTCTGGGATGTGGGAGCTGTGGGTTATCAGGTGTGGGAGCACATTGGGTTATCAGCAGGGCTTGCTCTGGATCCATCCCAGGATGGTGCTCAGGGCATTCCAGAACCTTCCAGCGCAGCTCAGCCCTCCAGGTGTTAAGCAGTATAACTAATCCATCAATATTTCCTCCCGCATCCCAAACAAAGATGCCAAAATGCTGCCTCAGGTGGAGACAGGGAACAGCAGAGGTGTGGGGCCAGCCCTGGAATATCATCCTGGAATATCATCCCTTAAATAAACCCCTGATCCTGTTCAGGCAACCTGCAGCTCCTGACCTGCAAAACCTGGAGGGGTTTTGGCTTTCCTGGAGTTCTGATGGCAGCAGGACAGAAATTCCAGCCAGGGAGCAGTGGCTGAGTGCCCCATCCTCACTGGGGCCATGCCTGGGACTGCTCTGAGGCAATGAACTCCAATTGTACTCCAGGGCGTGGGGGAGCCTGATGAGATGAAGCAGCTCCTAATGAGATTCCCTCTAATTACAGCTTCCCCCATTCTCCCCTCTCTGATCCGAGGAGTGGGCAGATTCACCATGACGACACAAGAATAGCACAGAAAGCTAATTAGCTGATCACAGGGAGCTGGGAGCTGCTCTGCCAGCAGCCCTGCATCACTGCCAGCCCGTGCCAGAGCTGGGCAGGCACAGGGTGGGCAGCAGCAGGCAGGGCAGAGGGCAGCAGCAGGGCAGGAACCCGCCAGGCTGCACAGAACCACTCTGGGGAATCCCACTCCTCACACAAGGAAGCCTTTGTGGCTAAATTAAAGAAGGTGGATGGGATAAAACCAAGTGAGGATGGGAAAAGGAGCAGCAGCAGGGCAGGAACCCATCAGGCTGCACAGAATCACTCTGAGACCCAGCTCAGAGCCTGGAGAATCCCACTCCTCACACAAAAAAAGCCAATGTGGTTAAATTAAACCAAGGTGGATGTGATAAAACCAAGCGAGGATAGGAAAAGGAGCAGCAGCAGGGCAGGAAGGGCTGGATGTGTTATTGCATCAGCAGCAATGGTCAGTGCAGTTGGTTTGAGGGGTTTCAGGGGCTTGATTCAGGGGAATGTTTGAGGTGTTTCAGGGGGCTGTTTGAGGTGTTTCAGGGTGTTGTTTGAGGTGTTTCAGGGGTGGTTTGAGATGTTTAAGGGGATTCTTTCTGTCCCCTCGGATGTGGAGGGTGGCAGGGCCGATGTGTGAGCTGGGGACATTGTGGTGCCTGCTGTTCCCTGCCCTCCTGAGTGCCCATTAGAGAGGGCAGGGGGTGCGTAAGGACCCCGAGAAGGGAGCACACACACTTTGTCCCCCTGGCTCTCAGCTTTGCTGGCAGCAGAGCAGGGACACGGCAGCACCTGAGCCTCAGCCTCCCAGGCACCTCCCCAGCCCCTGAGGATGGTGAGGGTGCTGAAGGTCGCCCATTCAGGTTTTGATTTAAGTACCAGACTGGCACTGAGGTGCTGCACACCTGCCTGCCGTCTGCCCTAGGGGAACCAAACTAAAGGAGCCACAGAAAACAGTGACTTTCCAGTGAGCCAGGGTTGGTTTGAGTGGCAAGGACAGCCAGAGGTGGCTGTGCAGGATGTGACAGAGATGTCCCTCCAGCACTTTTTGTAGCATCAGTGACCACAGAGCCGGGAACAGATCTGTTCTGGATGCTCAGATCCCATTCCCCTTCCCCATCCCTCCGCCCACCGGCGCCTTTGTGCTGTGGCAGTGCCTCCCTGTGTCACTGCCTGCCCCTTCTCTGGGCCCTGGTGGCAGCAGATGGTCTGTTGTGTCCAGCCAGGCAGCGCCGAGCCGGGGTCACCCCGCTCTGGGGGAGACAAAGCCGAGGCAGCTCTGCCACTGCCATGGCCCTGCCCAGGCAGGGGCTGCTCATTGTGCCGCTCACAGAGCCTCGTGTGTGTGCACTGGGCTGGGGAGGGGAAGAATTTGGCTTTTCACTGAGCTCATGCATCCCATTGAAAAGGCAGCCATCTGCTTTCACACGCCCAGCAGACGGCAGCGGCTTCGGGGGGATGTGGGAGCTGCAGCTTGGCACAAAGAGGGATTTCAGGGGGGCTGCACTGCTCCCACCATGGGCAGAGCTCAGGGCACAGCTCCCACCTTTCCTTCCATGCCAAACCCTCCTGCCCACCTCTGCAGCTCCCCAGGTACCAGTGTGGGGCTGGCTGTAGGCTCAGCCCTTTCTGGGCTGCCCCAGGACAGGACCAAGGCTGTTTCCTGCCCCTACACCTCTGTGAAAAGTGCACGTTATATGGCTCTGTGCAGATATTTACTCTATGTATTTTGTTGTGTTGATTACTAGTGCTGTGTTAACATTTTATTAGTGTGATAAATGTAGTTTTGTAGTTAAAAAGGTAATTTTTGTGGTTAAAATAGTAACTATGTAAGTGGGATATTTTTTTAAGAAAGGAATGAGCCCCAGGACTTTCCACATCCACCACCCCATTAACCCTGCCCGTTTTCCCTCCTGTGCAGGAGATCCATGAATGAGATTGTTTGTGTGTCAGCACCCTCAGCCCACGGCCTGGGGGCTGTTCAGGTCTCTGTCAGCGTGGACAGGGCTCAGCTGGAGAGGACTTTGCTGTTTGAGTACATCGACGACCCCAAGGTGCAGCACATCGAGCCCGAGTGGAGCATCGCCAGGTAAAGCAGCACCCCCTCAGCTCTCCCCTGCCCTGGGGCTGCTGAGCACACACCCAGGCCAAAAAAGGGAGTGTTTGGGAATGCACATCCCTCCCAGCATCCTGAACAGGTCAGGGCTGGGCATTCCTGGGTTTGCATTTAGCACAGATTGGGTCTGGGGTCACCAGGAGGTTGTGTCCAGCCAGGCAGCCACAGCCAACCCTGCACCAGGAGTTGGGGAGCTTAACCAAAGGCCAGACCACCCCCTGTGCTGCAGAAGGGCACAACTGCTCCTTAGAGGCTCCTCTTGTGGTCCTGGAACACCACAAAGCCACCTAGAAAGGGAAGAGCTGATGTTGATCAAGGGGAGTGTGGGGGCCAGGGCAGCTGCTGCTGTCACACCCTGGGGACACTGCTGGAAGCCCTGGGCTCTCCTCATCCTCCTAAGCCAAACCCTACTGGCATCCTGTCCCTGGGGCCCAGCCCAGCCCTGATCAGCCTCTCCTGCCTTCCCACAGCGGCCACACGCCCCTGACTGTCACCGGCTCCAACCTGGACGTGATCCAGGAGCCGCGGATCCGCGCCAAGCACAACGGCAAGGAGTTCATCAACGTGAGTAGGGGCTGGAGCTGGGCAGGGAACATCATCCTGCATCCTGCATGGGCACTGATGCCAATTGGGAGCATCACCCTGCACCCTGCATGGGCACTGATGCTCCTGCACCCCTGCATGGGGCACTGCTGCAGCTGGGCAAGGAGCATCATCCTGCATGGGCACCGCTGCCAGGGCTGCCTCCCTGGGCTGGTCTGACACAGCAAAAGCTGCTCTGGTGGTGTTTCCTGCACTCCCCCAAGCTGGGGGCACTGGGAAGAGGGAATTTGACACATCAAGATATGAGATTGCCTCCTTCCCCTGTCTGTGTTCTTTCGGTCCGTGAATGAGAAGCTGAGATGAGCCCCCACCTAAATGGGGACTAAGTGAGGTTCTTGTATGTGCTACAAGTCAGAATTGAACCTCCAGGACTTCAGAAATTATTCTGGCCAAGTAACACTGAAATATATTGTTTATATGTAGTGATCTCTGTGACTGAGTCTGCCCCCAAGCTGGGGGCACTGGGAAGAGGGAATTTGACACATAAAAATATGAGAATATCTCCTTCTCCTATCTGTATGTTTTCAGTCCATGAATGAGAATCTGAGATCACCCCCCAGCTAAATAGGGACTGAGCAAGGTTCTTGTGTAAGAATTGAACCTCCAGGATCTCAGAAATTATTCTGGCCAAGTAAAGCTGAAATATATTGTTTCTATGCAGTGATCTTTGTGACTGAGTCTGTATTCTCTTGGAAAGGGCAAATCACTGAGAGGTCTTTTCCTATTCCTTTTCTCCCCCTCAAGACCTTTTTTCATCTGAGCTCTTTTTAAAAAGACATCTAATTTTGTTACTAGCACTTGCAGTTACAGTGCTACAAAAATAATTCTGAAGACACAAAATTGAGTGAAATTAAATCTTTCAGTTATGGAGAGAGGCCAAATGGTTGGGCTCTTGCTGCTTTCCAAGGCAAGAGCCCCATAAATCAGTGATTTCCCTGCTCTGAGGGCTGCAGGAGCTGTGGGTGTCCTCAGCCCAGCAGGAGATGACCTTCATGTTCCCTCCTGCCCACCAGTGTCACATGCTCTGTTCCCTTCCCTCCTGGCATTTGGGAATGGCCTCTAATCACCCATTTGCAGCAGGGAGCTAGTATTCTCTATGGGTCTGCTTCAGAGCTGCAGAGGAGGAAAGTGGAAAGAAATGGGAAAAAAAATAAAGAAAAATGAGTGAGAGCTGCTGTGTGAGCCTTTAGCTCCACTGAAACACGGCTCATTTTGGGCTCACCCTCCATCACCACCCCAGCGCCTTCATGCTGGCTGGAGGAGAAGCAAATTACCCCAAATCATGGCAGTAATGCCTCATGGAATCAGCAAGGCTGGAAAAGACCTCTGAGACCATGGAGCATCAAGCCTGGATCAAACGCTCCCAGCTAAGCATGAAACCACTGGGTTTCCCATCCACCAGAGCATCAGGGTCCAGCTCAGGGCAGTGTTCCCTGCTGAAACC